GCCAGACAAACAGATAGACAAGCAGATAGACATGTTTATATGTAACAGTGAAAACAAAGCCAAGGCAATGCACTGTCTTCAAGTGTCACTCACTGCTGCACTGTCAGCAATAGAATGACACTCGTCTTACACAGTGCTGCTTCAAGGAGTTTCATATATACTCCAGCATGTCTAAAACATTGCTGGGACCTATAAATACTATGTATATATTTATAGACAATAATAAGTGACCAAGGCAGGTAAAAATGTTCACCTGTCAGTGTGTTTGTGACTATTTGAGTACCTAATACAGTGGACCCCCGCATAACGATCACCTCCGAATGGGACCAATTATGTAAGTGTATTTATGTAAGTGCGTTTGTACGTGTATGTTTGGGGGTCTGAAATGGACTAATCTACTTCACAATATTCCTTATGGGAACAAATTCGGTCAGTACTGGCACCTGAACATACTTCTGGAGTGAAAAAATATCGTTAACCGGGGGTCCACTGTATTAGTGTCAGAACAAATATTGGCTATGAAATCAAAAGAACTACAACAATTACTACTCTAATTACTACTCTACTAAGAATAGAATACAGTGGACCCCCGGCATACGATGGCATCGGTATACGTTAAATCCGGTATACGATACATTTTAACGCAAAAATTTTGCCTCGCCACTCGTTAAAAAACCCACCACACGCGATTCGTCCAGGACGCGTCCACATGAGGCCTGAACTGCCCCGTGCGTGCCAGTGTTTATAAGCCAGCCAGTGTGCTCGCATCTAAGCATACATTCAGTACATTCCATATTATCACAGTGTTTTTGGTGCTTGTTTCTGCAAAATAAGTCACCATGGGCCCCAAGAAAGCTTCTAGTGCCAACCCTGTGGTAAAAAGGGTGAGAATTAGTATAGAAATTAAGAAAGATTTTGAAGGGTTTGGGGCTAACCCTGAGAAGCCTATGCCAGTTGTGGAATCCATTGTGCCTACTTCAAAAATTAAGGAAATGTGTGCAAAGTAGGTTGAACTGCAAACCTTTATGGATGAAAATCACCCTAACACAGCTATTGCAAGCCGTGCTGGTGACTATTACAATGACAATGTTGTGGCCCATTTTAGACAAATCTTAAAGGAACCGGAGGTACAGAGCTCTATGGACAGATTTGTTGTGCGACAGAGGTCCAGTGACTCTCAAGCTGGTCCTAGTGGCATGAAAAGAAGAAGGGAAGTAACCCCAGAAAAGGACTTGCTACCTCAAGTCCTAATGGAAAGGGATTCCCCTTCTAAACATTAACAACTTCGATACTCTCCCCTCCTCTCATCCCATCAATCATCACCAGATCTTCATTAAAGGTAAGTGTCATGTATTCTATTGTTAGTAGAGTACTAATAACTGTGCATGTCTTCTTCAGTTTGTGTGCATTAAACTTAATATTTCATGTGGTAAAACTTTTTTTTTTTTCATAGTACTTTTGGGTGTCTTGCACGGATTAATTTGATTTCCATTATTTCTTATGGGGAAAATTAATTCGCCTTCCGATAATTTTGGCATACGATGAGCTCTCAGGAACGGATTAATATCGTATACCGGGGGTCCACTGTACATGACACTTACCTTTATTGAAGATCTGGTGATGATTGATGGGATGGGAGGAGGGGAGAGTGTGGAAGTTATTGTTTAGAAGGGGAATCCCCTTCCATTAAGACTTGAGGTAGCAAGTCCTTTTCCGGGGTTACTTCCCTTCTTCTTTTAATGCCACTAGGACCAGCTTGAGAGTCACTGGACCTCTGTTGCACAACAAATCTGTCCATAGAGGTCTGCGCCTCCCGTTCCTTTAAGATTTGCCTAAAATGGGCCACAACATTGTCATTGTAATAGTCACCAGCATGGCTTGCAATAGCTGTGTTAGGGTGATTTTCATCCATAAAGGTTTGCACTTCAACCCATTTTGCACACATTTCCTTACTCTTTGAAGTAGGCACAATGGATTCCACAACTGGCATAGGCTTCTCAGGGTTAGCCCCAAGCCCTTCAAAATCTTTCTTAATTTCCATACTAATTCTCACCCTTTGTACCACAGGGTTGGCACTAGAAGCTTTTTTGGGGGCCCATGGTGACTTATTTTGCAGTTACAAGCACAAAAAACACTGGGATAAGGTGAAATGTACTGAATGTATGCGTGGATGCGACCGCACTGCTGGCTTGTAAACACTGACACCAACGGGGCAGCTGAGGCCACACGTGGGACGCGTCCTGGACGAATCACGTAAGGCGAGGCAAAGTTTTTGCGTTCAAATGCTTCATATGGCAGATTTAACGTAATGCGATGCATTCGTAAGGCGGGGGTCCACTGTATATAAATTAAAAAAAAGAGAGAAAAAAGGTATATCGGCAGCACTTCTGCAGGCAGCAGGACTCCATGTTGCCATCAGGAGAGCATTCAGTGCCAACTTCGCGGTCTTATACAGTGGACCCCTAGATTACGATGTCATCGGATTACGTAAAATTCGGATTAAGTAATGTTTTTGCGTCAGAATATTGGCTCGATTAACGACAAAGAACTCGGTTAAAGTCATTCGTCCTGAACATGTCTGTGCGCCGTGAGCGGCCCAGACTCTCCCTGTACAGCCAGTGAGGATGATTTCACACGTACATTTGATACATTTTGTATTATTCCAGTGTTTTTAGTGCTTGTAACTGGTAAATAAACCACCATGGGCCCAAAGAAAGCTTCTAGTGCCAACCCTTTGGTAAAGAGGGTGAGAAACACTATAGAATTCATCGCAAAATACGAAAGTGCGTTTCTCCGAGCTGGCTAGGTTGTATAACAAACCCCATACAACCATTGCTACTATCTTGGCCAAGAAAAAGGCAATCAAGGAAGCTGTTGTTGTGAATGGTGCAAATATGCTTTCAAAACAGAGATCACAAATACTACTCGAAGATGTGGAGAGTGTTGTTGGTGTTGATCAATGAGAAACAATTAACCTCAGAGGGTTAGCCATCCAGGATAACTCAAGAAAGTCAGTGTGTCATCGAGGACTGTCTAACTTATTTCCATTGGGGTCCTTAACCCTTTCAGGGTCCAAGGCCAAAATCTGAAGTCACGCACCAGTGTCCAAGAATTTTCCAAAAAAAAATTTGTTATTTTTTCTTATGAAATCGTAGAGAATGTTTTTGTGAAGGTAATAAAACAAAAAGTACAAAATTTGGTGGAAAATTGACGAAATTATGCTCTCGCGAATTTTGATGTGTCAGCAATATTTACGAATCGGCGATTTTGCCGACTTTGACTCCCATTTTAGGCCAATTACATTATTCCAATCAACCAAATTCTTAGCTATTTCACTAGTATTACTTCTATTCTATCGATTGAGCACAAGAAATCGCCAAGTCAACTGTTTCAACTACAAAATAAAGTGATCGGAAATTGTTAATTTGGCCAATTTAACACAAAGTTCAAAATATTCCAATTTCAAAATAGGCTCCAGAATAAACAATGTAGGTATTCCTGGAACTAAACTAACATTTCCTCTGTTCATTAGTTACATTTTGAGGCTTTACAAATAAATTCCATTTTTATTTTTTATTCACATAATGAATTTTTATTCACACCAAAAAATAGAAGATTTACTGTTATGCAATACTGTAATAATTGTATAAATATCATCACCATATTTGTGAATGTATATTAGACCCACCAGCTGACGTGTATTAGATGTGCGAGGTCGTTTGTTTACTCTTGAATATCGGCAAAAATTTAACATTTCCGCTACTTTGAGCTCAGTTTCAAGCCATTTCCAATGCTAAAACCAATCAAAATCATCACTATTTCTGTAATATATCTTCCATTCTATCAAATGAGACCAAGAAATCGCAAATACAACTATTAAAAACATACGAAAAAACACTGCAAAGTCGCTGTTTTAATCGAAAAATCATGATTTCAGTTTTTTTCTCTCATTATACACAGTGTGCTGCAGGATCTGTTTTATGTGGTGCACACATACCACATAGATGTATTCTCTCATATCTAGGCCCAAATGTACCACTCACAGTTTATCAGAGTGAGCTGAGCTCATGACGTAGATCTACGGTTTGGACCCTGAACGTAAAGCCGTAGATCTACGGGACGGACCCTGAAAGGGTTAATCTTGTCCCCCAGGATGCAGACCACACCAGTTGAATAACACCCAGGTGAACAGGGAAAAATGCCTGGAACTAGTGCTCATATTGTTGAATTTAAGGCCAGCAAAGGTTGGTTTAAGAGATTTAAGAATTGTAATGGCATACACAGTGTGATAAGGCATGGTGAGGCTGATAAATTCCAACCCGAACAAGTGTTCAGTTGTGACGAAACAGGCCTGTTTTGTTGTAATGCTAGTGGAGATTGCAAAGTGAAGCCTTTACTCGTTTATCACTCTGAAAATTCCAGAGTGTTCAAGAATAACAGTGTCTCATCACTCATCAATAAGTCTTCAATAAAGGTAAGTGCCACTTTATTATTTATTCTGCATGTCTCATTGTTTTCTGTGTAGGGAAATGTATATTTCATGTAAAACAATTATTTTGTTTAATACTTTTGGGTGTCTGGAATGGATTAATTGGATTTCCATTATTTCTTATGGGGAAACTTAATTCACATTATGACAGATTCGGTACAAGACACGCTCTCTGGAACGAATTAATGTTGTAATCCGGGGGTCCACTGTATCTCGGTAAGTACCAATCCTAAATTTTTTTGTTTTTTTTGGTCTTATTACACACAGAAAATTGCCCTCTTTAATTTAAAAAAAAAAAAAATTCAACATATTCAGAGCGCTGGCAGTGAAAACGTAGTTCTACGTTTGGACAGTTTAAGGGTTAAGAAAAGTACTGTTCTTGTGTCATTTGCTCTTACTGAATATATTAGTTTTAGTTATTCCTGTTTGTGAATAGATTTTCGAATTCCACCAGATATTTACTCTTAGGATAATATACCTTTGTCATTAATAATTAACAAATAAATTACAGGTAGGTGAAAGAGGACTGAAACTCAGTGGAGGGGAGAAGCAACGTGTTGCCATTGCTCGCACTTTGTTGAAGAATCCAACCTTCATCTTGCTGGATGAAGCTACCAGTGCTTTAGACACGCAGACAGAAAGAAATATTCAGGTAGTGTAAAATGATGAGTGAGTTGAATGGAATTAAATTAAAAATAATTATTAGCTGTTTTAAGTTTTTATAATTTTGAACATTTCTATAAGCACTATACAAATGATAGTTTCTATAAATTTTAATTGACTGCAAACACTATAAAGGTGAGTTTCTGTAAATTTTAATTTTCCTTGAATTTAAAATTTGAATTGTGATATCTGTGCACTTTTGGTAAGACAGCTACTTAATGAATGGTGAATATACTTTTTTTCCTTGGGAGGGGGGGAGAAAACCCTTACAGTGGTAGATAGCTGGTGTGGTAAAAGAAAATGAAACCTACTCTGAATTTTCTTTAGGTAGTTGATTTAGTCATGTAAGCAGAAAGGAGAAAGGTAAGTTAGTAAAGCATATAAATCTTAGATTTTTGGAAAGTGTATTATTGGGTCTCAGAAAAATATGTGTGTGTAAAAAAAAAAAATTACTATAGGTACTTTAACTTTCAACAAACATGTATGCTAACCCAGTGTGAAGGCAAGTGATCTATGGGATCCGATGGACTATTGGAGTTGGAGTAAGGTAATATCTGGCTAGTTCACCTAAAAGTTTTGAAGATTGTGAAGTAGTGACTGCACTCAAGAGGGGCATGGTGGGGAGAGAGAGATCTAGTAAACATATATTGATCTGTTGCAGTTGTTGAGAGGCACGTCAAGTGATAGCGAATGCACTCTGAGCCATTGTGCCTAGATGGTAAAACTGCTGATGTATTATTTCTAATATTATATCTTTGACCTTATTACTCGAGTGAGTTATTCTTGGAAAACAGAATAACTTATTGCCTAGATCTGCCACCACTTACAGTACTGCACACATCCTAGTTTACATGCATTTGAAACAGTTTTAAGAGTTAATTAAAAAAAAATTAGTAATTGTAAAGGTAAAATGTATTTATGCATCTAACTATAGTTTTTATTTTCCATTGTATGTGTTGGTCTTTATTCACTCTCCTTTAATACCTTGGCTGCTGTTTTGTTCTTTGTTAATGTTTTCTCATCATTTATGAGTATCTAGCTTTATTAGTACTTTTGTTTTATCTTTAGAATCATATTTTAGGAGCATACTGTACTTTTGTTTCAGTTTAACAAAAGTGCCAAAAATTATACTTAGTTTAGGGGAAAGGTTACACAGTCAACCATTTATTAAATATTGAAGAATGCATTTGACTAGGTTGAAGATTAACTATAGTACTATATTTTTCATATTTTATAAGAACATAAGAAAGAAGGAACACTGCAACAGGGTTACTGACCCATGCGGAGCAGGTCCATGTCCCCCCCCCGGATTAGCCCAATGACCCCCCAGTCTGGTCATCTCCACTCATGGATGGAGCACGGCACCAGACCCAGCAGCACAAGCTAGTCAGGTCCAACTCACACCCACTCATGTATTTATCTAACCTATTTTTAAAACTACACATTTTAGCCTCAATAACTGTACTCGGGAGTTTGTTCCCCTCATCCACAACTCTATTACCAAACCAGTGCTTTCCTATATCCTTCCTGAATCTGAATTTTTCCAACTTGAAACCATTGCTGCGAGTCCTGTCTTAGCTGGAAATTTTCAGCACGATATTCATGTCCCCTTTATTTGTTCCTGTTTTCCATTTATACACCTCGATCATATCCCCCCTAATTCTACGCCTTTCGAGAGAGTGCAGATTCAGGGCCCTCAGTCTATCCTCATAGGGAAGATTTCTGATACATGGGATCATCTTTGTCATCCTCCTCTGTACGTTTTCCAGAGCATTTATATCCATTCTGTAATACGGTGACCAGAACTGAGCAGCATAGTCTAAATGAAGCCTAACCAAGGATACATAGAGTTGACAAAAACAACCTGAGGACTTGTATTATTTATACTTCTAGATATGAAGCCAAGAATTCTGTTAGCTTTATTGAAAACACTAATGCACTGTTGTCTTGGTTTTAGATTACTGCTAACCAGAACACCTAAATCCTTTTCGCAATCAGTAGTATTAACCCTTTCAGGGTCCCCAGGCCCTCTCCGATGCTTGTTCTCAGGGTCCCCAAATTTAAAAAAAAAAAAATTATTTTTCTTATTAAAAGATAGAGAATCTTTTCCCGATCATAATGACACCAAAAGTATGAAATTTGATGGAAAACTTACTGAATTATGCTCTCGTGAAGTTAGTGGTCTCGACGATGTTTACACATCGGCGATTTTGCCCACTTTGAGCCCTATTTTCGGCCAATTCCAGTGTACTAATTGACAAAAATCATAACTATTTCGCTAGAACTCCATTTTTTCTATCGAATGAGTACAAGAAACCACCCATTTACTGATTTCAACTATCCAATAAAGTGGTCAGAATTTAGCAATTTTGCCAATTTCACACAAATTTCAAAAGATGTCAATTTCCGAATTGGGTCCAGAATAAATAAGAAAGACATTCCTGGCACTAAAATAACAAGTTCTCTGTTCGTTAGTCACATTCCCAGGCCCCTATTATATTTCTTCGGCTTTCCACTTTGAATTTTTATTCTTACACAAAATAGAAGATTTACTGTTATGCAGACTACTGCATTAGTGTAGAAATGGTATAAATAATATCAGCACACTTGTGAAAGAATATTAGACTCACCAGTTGATGTGTATTGGACACTTGGCATGATTTGTTTACTTTTGAACTGTGGTAAAAATCGAACATTTCCGCTATTTTGAGCTCAATTTCAAGGTACTTTTCATTGTAAAACCAGTCAAAATCATCTCAATTTCTGTAATATGTCTTCCATTCTATAAAATGAGACCAGCAAAACTAGAATACAACAATAAATACCATACAAAAATACAGTGCAAAGTCGCTGTTTTAATCCAAAAACATGGTAAAAAAAGATTTTCTCTCATTACGCACTCTGTGCTGCAGGATTTTTTTTTTAAGCTGCGCACACTGACCACATACACCCATTCTTTCATATGTAGGCCTACCAGCTTTCTCTCACTAGATTTGAGGGCGCTAGAATTTAGGCATACTAGTACAGTGGACCCCCGGTTAATGATATTTTTTCACTCCAGAAGTATGTTCAGGTGCCAGTACTGACTGAATTTGTTCCCATAAGGAATATTGTGAAGTAGATTAGTCCATTTCAGACCCCCAAACATACACGTACAAATGCACTTACATAAATACACTTACATAATTGGTCGCATTCGGAGGTGATCGTTATGCGGGGGTCCACTGTATGTCAAAAACCCTGGGGCGTAAGCCGTACTAATATGGCCAAAACCCTGAAAGGGTTAAGATCTATATTTTTTAGTTTATATGTTGCATGGTTATTTTCCTGTCCAACATTTAGAACTTTGCATTTGTCTATATTAAACTGCATCTGCCACTTCTCCGACCATTGCATCAGTCTATTCAAATCATCCTGGAGTGCTCTAGTGTCCTCATTAGAATGAATTGGACGGCCTATTTTGGGTGTCATCAGCAAATTTGCTTATGTCGCTATTTATTCCCTCATCTATGTTGTTTATGTAAATTGTGAACAACAACGGGCCCAACACTGACCCCTGAGGAACACCGCTTGTGACGTGCCCCCATTCTGATTTCTCCCCATTTATGCAAACTCTCTGCTGCCTATTTGTCAGCCATGCCTCTACCCAGGAAAAAATTTCTCCTCCTATTCCGTGTGCCTTAAGTTTCCTCAATAGCCTCTGATGTGGAACTCTATCAAAAGCCTTTCTGAAGTCCATATACACAATATCATATTCATTACCATGATCTACCTCCTCAAACACCTTAGTGAAAAATGTTAGTAAATTCGTAAGACAGGAATGCCCCTTTGTAAAACCGTGTTGAGATTCATTAATCAATTTGTGCCTATCAAGATGGGTACGAACTGCTTCGGCAATTATTGATTCCATAAATTTTCCCACTATGGAGGTAAGGCTTATTGGTCTATAGTTTGAAGCCAAGGACCTGTCACCTGCCTTATAAATAGGTATTACATTTGCCATTTTCCACTTATCAGGCACTATGCCAGTTTGTAGTGATATGTTAAAAAGATTAGCCAAAGGTATGCTAAGTTCCTCTTTACATTCCTTTAACATCCTTGCAAACAGTTCATCAGGACCTGGGGATTTGTTAGGTTTTAGTTTCTCTATTTGTCTGAGGACTATGTCACTAGTTACCGTAATCATGCATAGTTTATTATTGTCCTGTTCTACATAATCTATTATTTTCCTGGGTGAAAACTGAGAGGAAGTAGGCATTGAGAATTTCACACATATCCTTAACACTGTCAGTGATCTGACCCGAGTTACTCTTAAGTGGGCCAATCTTGTCCCTAATCTTACTTCTGTATACCTGAAAGAGCCCTTTTGGATTAGTCTTTGAATCCCTTGCGACCTTAGCCTCATAATCCTTTTTTGCTTTTCTTATTCCTTTCTTTATTTCTCTCTTTAATTGAATATATTGATTTCTTAACTGCCCATCCCCTCTTTTGATATGCCTCTCTTTTGACCAATGAGATGTTTTTAACCCTTTCAGGGTCCAAGGCCCAAATCTGGAGTCACGCACCAGTGTCCAAGAATTTTCAAAAAAAAAAATTTGTTATTTTTTCTTATGAAATCGTAGAGAATCTTTTTGTGAAGGTAATAAAACAAAAAGTACGAAATTTGGTGGAAAATTGACGAAATTATGCTCTCGCGAATTTTGATGTGTCAGCGATATTTACGAATCGGCGATTTTGCCGACTTTGACTCCCATTTTAGGCCAATTACATTATTCCAATCAACCAAATTCTTAACTATTTCACTAGTATTACTTCTATTCTATCGATTGAGCACAAGAAATCGCCAAGTCAACTGTTTCAACTACAAAATAAAGTGATCGGAAATTGTTAATTTGGCCAATTTAACACAAAGTTCAAAATATTCCAATTTCAAAATAGGGTCCAGAATAAACAATGTAGGCATTCCTGGCACTAAACTAACATTTCCTCTGTTCATTAGTTATGTTTTGAGGCTTTACAAATAAATTCCATTTTGATTTTTTATTCACATAATGAATTTTTATTCACACCAAAAAATAGAAGATTTACTGTTATGCAATACTGTAATAATTGTATAAATATCATCACCATATTTCTGAATGTATATTAGACCCACCAGCTGACGTGTATTAGATGTGTGAGGTCGTTTGTTTACTCTTGAATATCGGCAAAAATTTAACATTTCTGCTACTTTGAGCTCAGTTTCAAGCCATTTCCAGTGCTAAAACCAATCAAAAACATCTCTATTTCTGTAATATGTCTTCCATTCTATCAAATGAGACCAAGAAATCGCAAATACAACTATAAAAAACATACGAAAAAACACTGCAAAGTTGCTGTTTTAATCGAAAAATCATGATTTCAGTTTTTTTCTCTCATACACAGTGTGCTGCAGGATCTGTTTTATGTGGTGCACACATACCACATAGATGTATTCTCTCATATCTAGGCCCAAATGTACCACTCACAGTTTATCAGAGTGAGCTGAGCTCATGGCGTAGATCTACGGTTTGGACACTCACCGTAAAGCCGTAGATCTACGGGACGGACCCTAAAAGGGTTAATCTATTGTTCATCCATTTGGGATCATTTTTGTTAGATCTAATTTCCCTACTCGGAACAAAAGTTGCCTGGGCAGCTAAAACTATGCTCTGAAAAACGTCATATTGACAACCAAGATCACCTACCTGACACATAGTCAGGACATCCCAATTTAGCCCACCCAGGTAATTTTTCAGTCCCATGAAGTCGGCCAAGCGAAAATCTGGCACTGAGATTTGATTGCAGTTATCTGGGTAATTCCATGATATATTGAAACTAAGTGATTTGTGGTCACTTTCCCCAAGCTCATCATTAACTTCAAGATTATTAATTAGTGACTCTTTGTTGGCAAGAACCAAGTCAAGCAAATTGTTTCCTCTAGTTGGTTCTGTCACAACCTGTTCTAAAAAGCAATCCAGAACCGTGTCAAGAAAGTCACTAGACTGAAGATTTCCTGTCATATTGTTCCAATCAATTTGTCTAAAGTTAAAATCTCCCATTATCACAACATTTTCATATCTAGATGCCTTATGAATTTCGTCCCATAACAGCTTACTGCACTCCCTATCAAGGTTTGGGGGCCTATAAATCACACCCAAAATTAATTTGTCATGACCCTTGAGAAACTGTAGCCAAAGAGATTCTGTATTCGATGTTTCTAATCTTATATCATGTCTAAGACAACAATTTAAATCTTCTCTGACATACATCGCCACTCCACCACCCTTCCTGTTAACCCTATCAGTGTGGAGTAGTTTATAACCCTGTATGTTGCATTCAGAAGGCATTTCTCTATCTTTCAGGTTGAACCAGGTCTCTGTTATACCAATAATATCTATATTACCTACACTTGCAAGTAATCTTAGCACATCTATCTTATTTCTTAGACTCCTACTATTTGTATAGTAAACCTTAAGGGAGCTAGTCACTCGTTGCCCTCTACTATCTCTCTTTGTTTGTTGATCAACTGATTTGCCATTACTAGCAACTTTGGTATAAACCTTGGTAATAAATACCGACAAGTTGGTTTAGAAAGACACGTAAGCAAACACTATAACATATTTATTAGAAAACGTTTCGGTCCTGGGACCTTGATCACTTCTAACATACAGAGGTAGAAAGACATTATATATAGGCGGAGAGTGAGATGTGACGCACGTGACCTGAGGAATGTCATAAGAACATAAGAATGGAGGAACACTGTAGAAGGCCTACTGGCCCATGCGAGGCAGGTCCTTATCAAAACAACCTCTGCCTATGATGAGGACCAGTAGACGATGAAATCATGTGACCCTGTGTTGTTGGGTTGGTGCTGCTTAAGTATCATGTATGCCAATGTTTTTGAAATTTTGTAGTTTCCAGTGTTGCGTTCTATAGTGTCGGTGACGGTGATTAGTGAGGCTTCTAGGCACCGTCGCGTCTGAGGTCTGGTTCGGTGAGAACGAGTTGTGCCTCGTTCCAGTTCATCAAATGCCCCGTGGAGTCTCTGTGGAGGACACAGGCGTACCTTACATCGTCTCTGTTAGAGGCATTTCGATGCTCATTCAGGCGGACTGCAAGATCTCTGCCTGTCTCGCCTACATATTTCTTGGGACAGAACCCACAGGGGATAGTGTAGACGCCTGCTGTAGAAGTTAGAGGTGTGGGGCTGCGTTTAGTAGTGAGGTCTTTGATAGAGGATGTGTTTATGGTGGAAACGTTGATGTTACTCATAGCAAGTGCCCGGCGAGTATTCGTGGCAACATCGCCACATGGGAGTACTATGAACTGTTTAGGGGGCTGTTCCATGGGCGGTTTGTTGAGGATAGCTTGTGCCTTGAGTCTGCAATCTCGGATGAAGAAAGAGATTGCAGACTCAAGGCACAAGCTATCCTCAACAAACCGCCCATGGAACAGCCCCCTAAACAGTTCATAGTACTCCCATGTGGCGATGTTGCCACGAATACTCGCCGGGCACTTGCTATGAGAAAACATCAACGTTTCCACCATAAACACATCCTCTATCAAAGACCTCACTACTAAACGCAGCCCCACACCTCTAACTTCTACAGCAGGCGTCTACACTATCCCCTGTGGGTTCTGTCCCAAGAAATATGTAGGCGAGACAGGCAGAGATCTTGCAGTCCGCCTGAATGAGCATCGAAATGCCTCTAACAGAGACGATGTAAGGTACGCCTGTGTCCTCCACAGAGACTCCACGGGGCATTTTGATGAACTGGAACGAGGCACAACTCGTTCTCACCGAACCAGACCTCAGACGCCGACGGTGCCTAGAAGCCTCACTAATCACCGTCACCGACACTATAGAACGCAACACTGGAAACTACAAAATTCCAAAACATTGGCATACATGATACTTAAGCAGCACCAACCCAACAACACAGGAGTCACATGATTTCATCGTCTACTGGTCCTCATCATAGGCAGAGGTTGTTTTGATAAGGACCTGCCTCGCATGGGCCAGTAGGCCTTCTACAGTGTTCCTCCATTCTTATGTTCTTATGACATTCCTCAGGTCACGTGCGTCACATCTCACTCTCCGCCTATATATAATGTCTTTCTACCTCTGTATGTTAGAAGTGATCAAGGTCCCAGGACCGAAACGTTTTCTAATAAATATGTTATAGTGTTTGCTTACGTGTCTTTCTAAACCAACTAGCAACTTTATTTTGAATATTGTCTTTTAAACATATCCCTGAGGTATCCCGGTAATAACTGCTGTTTTTAACCCTAATACTGCAGCCTGATTGTTTCTCACAAACACCCTTACCTCTATAATCTATCAGTTTAAATTCCTAGACAAGTCATCAGTTACCCTCTCAATCGAATTGGCTAATGCAACCACTCCATTCCCAGAGAGATGAACCCCATTCCTTGCATACATATCACGTTTGCCAGAGAATAGGTCCCAGTTATAAATGAATGGGATTGCAAGTTCCTTGCAGTACCTGTCTAGCCAGCAATTTATACCAATTGCCCTAAACATCCATTCATTACCCACTCCCTTTCTAGGCAAGATGCTACAAATGACTGGGATCCCTCCCTTAGATCTAACTACTTCTATGGCTGACCTGTACTTATCCAGCAGCTCCTGTCTCCTGCTCTTCCCAATGTCATTACCCTCAACACTAAGATAATGGGCTTGTTCCCATTACCTGACATATTATTATCCAACCTGCTGACTATGTCACCAACACCAGCTCCAGGAAGGCACACCCTCTGTCTGACCTTTCTGCCTCTGTTACAGAAAGCACAGTCCATATATCTTAACTGAGAATCTCCTACTTTTAAAATATTCTTACCTTGATTAGCAGGGGAATCGGTGGTACCTTCAACCTCACTAACCACTGAAATGCACTCATCCTGGAGAACAGATAATCGATTTCCTACCTTCACATCTTCTCTGTTAGCCCTCCTTATCTTCCTTCTTCCTGAACTGTGAACCACTTGCCACTTAAAGCAGCTGCCACTATCACTACTAGTGACCATTTCCTCCTTACCAGCTAAATCCTCACACTCGCTCCCAAACTCATTTAGGCGAAGCTTCAGCCTCCTATTTTCCTCCTGAAGAAGTAGAACCTCCTTCTTCAACACTAACCTGAGATTCTAAAACACTACAACAAGCCATGGTGCTTGGTAACACCCCACGCTAACTCCCAGAGCTTAGGACAGGTATGACCGCATGTGACCACTGACCTCAGCGTACTATGTATCGCCAATTTCCATAAAAAATGATCATAACATTTTACACAGTGCTATCATGTTAACATTTCTTTCTCCTCCTTGCTAGACTGCATTACAAAAGGTGTGTGCTGATCGTACTGTGCTGGTAGTGGCTCACCGTCTCTCAACAATAATTCATGCTGACACTATCCTCGTACTCAAGGATGGAATGATTATAGAACGAGGAAGGTTAGTATATTATATTCGAAAGGTAGCCCTAAATGCAGAGAGATCTTACAGGACATTAGGAATGGGAGATAATCAGGTTTGATCTTAGGAAGATTACTGTATAAACTTTGGATGTGTTAAACTCATAGGGGTCACACAGCCCCTTGCCAGTACCAAAGGAGGTTCCTTGATGCTGATGAAGGAAGAATCTTGATCCAGGGAACTGAACTTATCCTTCCCTTTCTTGGAGTGAACTTGAATGTCTCCCATTCTTGACCTACAGATTTAGCACCTCTGAATAAATATGGAGTGGTTAAGAGAAAAGGCTTGATAGTGGTTTAAAGATGGAATCAAGGATGATGGATACTAGTGTTGCAAAGAACATTTAAAAATCAATAGTTTCTTATTTTGCAGGCATGAGGAGCTGATAGCAATAGATGGAGTATACAGCAATATGTGGAGACAACAGTTGGAGGCCAACAATAACAGTAGCGATAATGATCAGCCTTCAGATCAGAACATGCAATCATTAGATGAGGAAACACCCACAGTCTAGTTGTTTCCTATAATCAAAAGTGTAGTTTCACAAATTTTTAGTGTACAGGCTAAGGCACAGTGGTTCAGGTAAGCCATTTTCTATATTTATGCTAGTGATTAATGTGAATTTTCATATATAACATACTCCCAGTTATCCATAACCTGACTGCAATAGCATCTGTTACCATAGCTACTTCTCTGTCCCTTCTCTTCTGGGGGTGGGGGGCATAATTAGTTCATTCATTACATTTGAGAAACTGTTTCACTGTTTTGTACAGTGCTCTCCTCTTTCTAGCATCTTCAGACATGAAAGAGCTAATTTTTGTACTTGCAAAAATTATTATATCAGAACAAATGTTTGGTTATGTATTCCACCTGTTTTTTTTTTTTTCTGAAGCAATTACTGTGGAACCCTGGATATCAGCCGATGCGGATATCGGCCAAATCGGATTTCAGCTGCTTTTTTGACCGAAATTCTCTCCTGGATTTTGGCCGGCAACTTGGAAATCGGCCGTATTGGATGCGTCCACCCGCCATGTTCATGAGTCAGTCTGGCTGTGTCTCTGGGTGAATAAGCAACATTCCGTGCATTCATCCAAACATTTCATTATAGTCCATTGTATTTTGTGGTTGTTTATTGAGTGCGACTGCGAAATAAGCCACCATGGGCCCAAAGAAACATTACATAGTATATAAAAACATGCAATGTTTATATGCGATGTATGTTTAATAATAATTGCTCTTGGGCACATTAAATGTCTTATTTTAGGTTAATATAGACATTTTAATTAATCCATCTATGATATTTTCTTCAAAATTATACAAGAAACACATTACATAGCATATAAATATGCAGTGTTTATAGGCTATCGAGTGGCGAGTACTGGTGAATCGAGGAGGAGGGTGAAGGGTTAACATTACGTTTTCTCTGATTCAACCTAAGAGAAAACTGTGAATCTGGCATCTGGCCCAGTCACCGCCCTTCATACGCATTTGTTTACAATTCTTGACATGAATTATTCATTACTTCTCCCTTTGTTTATGATGGCATCTAAAGGTAGTTGTTCGAAACTATTTAACTTGGTGAACATGGTAATAATATGGCTGTGTAGTGTAGCCCAGGGGGGCTACATGTGTGTACCTACATCTACCACTGCCTACACTGACTTCCTACAAATAAATACTACTCACCTTTTGCCCTACATTAAGTCTACAAATATTTTAAGGTAATTAATTAATGTACTGTGGCGGTCAATGACAAAGAAGGGAAGTAACCCTAGAGAGGGTTTTGATACCTTATGGAGGGGGATTCCCAACTCCCTCTCCCCTCCTGCCTTCTTCAATACGCCACCAAGAGTTTTCAATAAAGGTATGTAATTTCATTTATCATTAAAATTTGTGCTTTATATTTACACATTTCTCATTGTTAAGAAAGCCTAGGGAACGAATGGATTTCAGTTAAAAACAGAGATGGGGAGATGGAGGTATTGGGTAGATGGCAGGAATATTTTGAGGAACTTATAAAAGTGGACGAAGAGAGGGAGGCGGTAATTTCATGCATTGTCCAGGGAGGTATACCATCTTTTAGGAGTGAAGAAGAGCAGGATGTGAGTGTGGGAGAGGTGCGTGAAGCATTATGTAGAATGAAAGGGGGTAAAGCAGCTGGAACTGATGGGATCATGACAGAAATGTTAAAAGCAGGGGGGGGGGGATATAGTGTTGGAGTGGTTGGTATTTTTGTTTAATAAATGTATGAAAGAGGGGAAGGTACCTAGGTTTTGGCAGAGAGCATGTATAGTTCCTTTATATAAAGGGAAGGGGGACAAAAGAGATTGTAAAAATTATAGAGGAATTAGTTTACTGAGTATACCAGGAAAAGTGTACGGTAGGGTTATTATTGAAAGAATTAGAGGTAAGACAATGTAGGATTGCAGATGAGCAAGGTGGTTTCAGAGTGGGTAGGGGATGTGTAGATCAAGTGTTTACATTGAAGCATATATGTGAACAGTATTTATATAAAGGTAGGGACGTTTTCATTGCATTTATGGATTTAGAAAAGGCATATGATAGAGTGGATAGGGGAGCAATGTGTCAAGTATATGAAATAGGTAGCAAATTACTAAATGCTGTAAAGAGTTTTTAGGATATTGAAGCTCAGGTTAGTGCGTGTAGGAGAGAGGGAGATTACTTCCCAGTAAAAGTAGGTCTTTGACAGGAATGTGTAATGTCACCATGCTTGCTTAACATATTTATAGATGGGATTATAAAAGAAGTAAATGCTGGGGAAACCTGGTATTTTTATATAGCCGGACCCGAGTCCTGGAAATGGGAAGTACACTGCCTGCACTTTAAAGGATGGGTTTGGGATATTGGCAGTTTGGAGAGAGATGTTGTGTATCTTTATACGTATATGCTTCTAAACTGTTGTATTCTCGGCACCTCTGCAAAAACAGTGATTATATGTGAGTGAAGTGAAAGTGTTGAATGATGAAATTATTTTCTTTTTGGGGATTTCTTTCTTTCTTTGTGGGTCACCATGCTTTGGTGGGAGATGGCTGACTTGTTACAGAAAACAGCGAGATTTTTTTTTTCTTTATGTAAAACTATAGTTCATCTAAAAAAATGTATTTTTTATTAATATTTTTGGGTGCCTGAAACATTAATTGGATTTACACTAATTCTTATGGGAAATATTACTTCGGTTTTCTGCTTTTACGGATTTAGGCCGACCTTCTGGAATGGATTACGGCCGATAACTGGGATTCCACTGTACTTTGTGACAATTTATTGGTCATTTTTGAAAGCTAGGTATAAAATTTGCCAAGGTTTTATTTTTAAAATAGTTAAGCAATACTGTATTTCAGTTATTTAATTGTGAAATATTCTTTAAAAGAATCTGTCATTATTATTATTGGAAGTAATCTGTGATGACATCTCCTTAGATTTTTTTGATGTAGTTTAAATGTTAGTCATCTTTTAAAATTTTAATATTCAGGGACTTAATTTCTGCAGAAAGGTACCAAATGACTATTGTAAATATAAAATACATATATAGAAGATGGAAAATTCAATATTTTATTTTCAAATCAACAGTAAGCAATTAATGACCAGTAAAATTTGAGTTAACATTCCATGGCAGTATTTTTTTTAATACTACAGTATTTTGAGAACTAATAAAGTAATAGAAAAGTATAATTAAAATTCCACTAACTGCTAAATTCTGTCCTTTGAGTTTTCAATCATTTCTACTACACATTCCTAAAAACTGAAAAGTGACTAACAAAATTATGAAAGTCATTTCTTCCCCGAGGAGGTAAATGACCCAGAAGGATCCAGACATACAGTCAATAAAACTTTCACAGAAATTGCAGATATAGAGCATAAACTAAAGCACTAATACCAGACAGAAAAAAAAAGTAATCCAGAAAAAATCCTAGATAGTTATTCATTCATCAACAATCCAGTCAGCACCATGAAAATTTCCTCACTAACTCTGCCAACCCTACAGATTATATATTTAGCATTAGCACAATTTCTTCAGACTTCAAAAACAAAAGCAGCATGCTCGTGCATGCAGCACCTGAGCCAGATTTCCGGAATCCTGAATTTGTAAAGAATCACAAAATACCACTAGCATGAGCAGTCACTGCAGACATACCTATTCACAAAGGAAGCGGCAGAGCTAAGACAAACACAGACCAGTGGCACTAACATCATACATTCAGTCTTTGAAAGGGTGCTGAGATGCTAACTGTTTTTGTGGAGAAGCATTACTTGCACAACCAAAGGCAACATGAATTTAGAGCAGGAAGATCATGCATGTCAACTGTTGAATCATTATGAAAATCACAGAGGCTTCAGAAGAAAAATGCAGAACAGCCTCTCCTCACTTAGCGATGTACTCGTTTACCAACACCTCGGACTTGCGACAGGCGCTCTGACCAGTATTCATACCTAAATAATGTATATTAGAGCCAAGTTCCTCTATTCTGTTTATTTCAGTATACAGTACACTACTGTATAAACATTTAAAAATATACTAGAAATGTTATAAATGGTGCAAAGGGACATTAAAACAATGTCAAAGATGGTCGACACTAACTCACTACCAAACCATACCACGGGCGGGGATAGAACCCGTGATCAGTCTCTCACAAAACTTCTGGAGTTTTGAGACTCTGATTGCGGGTTCTATCCCTGCCTGTGGTATGGTTTGTTTGCAATCTGTGTCATTATGATTTAGTGAGTCATGTTAACTCACTACAATTATAGTATACTCCTCACTTAGTGACGAATTCGTTTAATGATGTGGTCTTAGGAACAGAACTCCATCGTTAAGTGAGGAGAGGCTGTAGTAGTATACGTGGATTTTGCAAAGGCATTTGACAAGTGTCCATGGTGTGATAGCCCATAGAATGAGGTTAATGGTTGTATACATAAAAAGTAGGGGGAACAGGTATTCAAATAATAAATGTAGACAAACCATCTCTACAAATGTAAACAAGTAAACAATGTCCTTTATCGAACAGAAAGCAAAGGCCAGAAAAATGTTAGGGCGCATAATAAGACCTTTCAAATTAAAAGGTAAAACACTAGTGATAGTACTATTCAAACCATTTGTGCTCTTGCAGCCAGAATATTTTTCTGTGCTTGGCTTCATTCAAGGAAAGGTATATTAATGCTGGAAAATGTATAGGTCGTTTATACATACACTAACCTTTGCAACTTCTCTTTATAATTTCCCAAAATAACTATCAGCAAAAAAGAATTGTGGTATCTCCCACTTTGTCAGATTGTTAATTTTAATTCCACACCCCTCCCAAATGCCCTAGCATTTACTTATTTTACCACCATATGGTGACATGACACGTTTAACCCTTTGACTGTTTTGGTCACGTATATATATGTTTACGAGCCAATGTGTTTGACGTATTAATACGCCAAAATTCTAGCGACTTCAAATCCAGCAGGAGAAAGCTGGTAGGCCCTCATGTGAGAGAATGGGTCTCCATGGCCAGTGTGCGCAGTATAAAAAAAAAAAATCGGGGAGCCAGTGGTGCATTGTGGGAATGCCATTTCAGTAGTCCTTGTTCAGCATGCCTAGCGGTAAGAAATATGCAACTCCCCAGCAAATCTGGGACTCTTCTCTTCCTAAGTGATCACTAACACAGATGGAAGTGTCAGTGAAGATGAATTTCATGGTTTTGAGGAGTTTGTGACCAAAAGCAATGCCCAGGATACCAGAAGAAAGAAAGAAAAAGACAAAGAAAGAATGGTAGGCAGGTACGAAGGAGGTGGGGAAGGAAGGCATGGGACCCAGTGGGTGTTGACAGCCAGTAAGGGTAGTGAGTGATGGCATAATATGTCATTTTGACAGCTGCTGCACCCTGACTCAGCACTTTTAGGAGTCCCCCCCCCCTCCACACACACACACACACACACACAGTTCCAGAAGATAATAATAGCAGTTCTATGAAAGTGTCCAGTGACTATATATTAAAGAAACCAGAAGGAAAGGAGGAAAGAATGAAGAAAGAAAGAATGAAAAAAAGTAGGCAAGTAGGAATGATGACATGACCATTTACCTAAGGTAAATACCTTACACAACTGCCTGCTACTACTTTGAAGAAAACTGATCAGAAGAGGTGTTTTGTCTGTGCACATACAAAAAAAATGCCCACAGAAATGCAGGCACACTCGTTTTATGTGTGAGGAGTGTAAAACACCATTGTGCATACACCCATGTTTCAAAGAATTCCACAAGCTGCAGCAGTTATAGGAAAGTGTCCAATGATTGTACATGTATGTATATATTATAGAACAACAGTAATAAGCAACTTTTTATATTGTTTGTTTGTGTAAACAAGTTTTGTAAAGAATATAATGATACTAATGTTTGTGCAATTATTGTGTTACATACAAGTGTATATATGTATATTGCACTTAACTTTTGTGGCCTGTGAGACCAAAGTACAGTAATGTGAGAAAAATAAAAGTGGAAAAAACAAGAGACCTTCAAGTGGAAGTAAACCAGTGTTTACCAGGTGAGCGGCATTCACCACTGTTGCCATACACAGCTCCTTTTCTGCCAACTTTACTCCTTTATACCTCGGTAAATACCAATTGAAAAAAAATGGGGGGGGGGGGCCTTAAAGCAATCGGGAAAAATAATCCTAACATTTTTTGACATTTTTTTTTTTCTTTTTCCTTTTTTTTTTTTTTTTTTTTTTTAATTTTTCAACACTAGGAGACACTTCAGGATTTGGGGTTGCAACAGTCAAAAGGTTAATGCCTATTTTATCAGAAAATAGCCCCCATCTCTTGCATACCTTAACCTGAGCCTTATTATCCATATAAAATGTACTACTGTTAGTACACACATTTTATACTTTGCCACATTGCTTCCTATCCACCCTGTTGTATACATTTATTACATTCATAAACACAACAAAATTCTTAAGTCAAAGTATTGTGCATGTATATGCTTCAGTCTGAACACCATCTTACCCCTAACTCATAATAATTCTACCAAACATTTTACCTAGTATGTTCAGCAGGCTTATTTCCCCTACAAGTCTTGTACTCTGTCTTGTCCCCCTTTTCATTATACACAGGAACTTCGCTTGCTCTTTGCCAAGCCTTGAGTACCTTTACTTTATTTATGCATATATTGCACAAATATACCAACCACTACACAGTTGTTAAATTAGACACATGTGCAACTCTTGGGTATCTTTATTGAGGAAACGTTTCGGCACACAGTGGCTTCCTCAGTCCATACAAAGGATAAACTTGAACAGGAGGAGAATGCCTAGTAGGGGGATCGAAGCTAAAACATTGGGTAGTTTCAAATTTAGGTTGGATAAATACACAAGTGAGAGGGGTTGGATTTGAGTCAGACATGCACCTGAGCTTATTGCTTGGGTAGCATTTGGTCTGTTAGTGGGTTGGATTTGTGAAGGACCAGCCTAGTATGGGCCAACAGGCTTACTGCAGTGTTCCTCCTTTCTTATGTTCTAAAAGCTATGGCTTGGGTAGTTTCAAATTTAGGTTGGATAAATACACGAGGTATACCATCTTTTAGGAGTGAAGAGCAGAATGTTAGTGTGGGGGAGGTACGCGAGGCATTACGAAGAATGAAAGGGAGTAAAGCAGCTGGAACTGATGGGATCATGACAGAAATGTTAAAAGCAGGGGGGATATAGTGTTGGAGTGGTTGGTACTTTTGTTTAATAAATGTATGAAAGAGGGGAAGGTACCTAGGGATTGGCAGAGAGCATGTATAGTCCCTTTATATAAAGGGAAAGGGGACAAAATAGATTGTAAAAATTATAGAGGAACAAGTTTACCGAGTATACCAGGAAAAGTGTACGGTAGGGTTATAATTGAAAGAATTAGAGGTAAGACAGAATGTAGGATGGCAGATGAGCAAGGTGGTTTCAGAGTGGGTAGGGGATGTGTAGATCAAGTGTTTACATTGAAGCATATATGTGAACAGTATTTAGATAAAGGTAGGGAAGTTTTTATTGCATTTATGGATTTAGAAAAGGCATATGATAGAGTGGATAGAGGAGCAATGTGGCAGATGTTGCAAGTATATGGAATATGTGGTAAGTTACTAAAGGCTGTAAAGAGTTTTTATGAGGATAGTGAGGCTCAGGTTAGGGTGTGTAGAAGAGAGGGAGACTACTTCCCGGTAAAAGTAGGTCTTAGACAGGATGTGTAATGTCACCATGGTTGTTTAATATATTTATAGATGGGGTTGTAAAAAGTAAATGCTAGGGTGTTCGGGAAAGGGGTGGGATTAAATTATGGGGAATCAAATTCAATATGGGAATTGACACAGTTACTTTTTGCTGATGATACTGTGCTTATGGGAGATTCTAAAGAAAAGTTGCAAAGGTTAGTGGATGAGTTTGGGAATGTGTGTAAAGGTAGAAAGTTGAAAGTGAACATAGAAAAGAGTAAGGTGATGAGGGTATCAAATGATTTAGATAAAGAAAAATTGGATATCAAATTGGGGAGAAGTATGGAAGAAGTGAATGTTTTCAGATACTTGGGAGTTGACGTGTCGGCAGGTGGATTTATGAAGGATGAGGTTAATCATAGAATTGATGAAGGAAAAAAGGTAAGTGGTGCGTTGAGGTATATGTGGAGTCAAAAAAATGTTATCTATGGAGGCAAAGAAGGGAATGTATGAA